CATGCTCCAATTCTATTTACTCTCTTTTGAAATGTGTTCGACAGATCTGCTAGAAATGATGAATTTCTCCAACACTTTAATGTCGTTATTTCAGATCTCCAGTATCCGCATTATTTTGGGCTATGGACTCATGCATATTGAACACAATTTCCGGACACACTTTATCACTGATTTTAAATACTCTACCGTTGGTCACCGTACCTTGAGCTGCTTGGAACCTTAAATCTGGAATTTCCACCTGAAATATTTGAAAGCATTTTTTACTTCCTTTTCGTACTTGCAAACACTCCTTGTAACCGATCACTTTGGTCAAGCTTTTGATCATGTAGTTTAATATACTTTAAGTTCCTGTGAAACTCCCAGGCACTTTGCTACGTTTAAACTCTAGTCTTTAAGTTGTTGTTATTCAGTGTGATCTGATTGTTGACTGAGTGAAACAGGCTGTACCAGTGTAACTCCCAAGAGACAGCTTGTTATAACAGAACAAGGAAGAAGTGAGCACTGAATCCACTGTATTATCCCTGTTCTCTGTATCAGGTAACTGTCCTCTCTTTGTATTATTGCAGAGCTAAGAGCCATTGGATCCATTGTATTATCCCTGTTGTCAAGGTCATGTAACAATACTCTTGTTGAAGAGCGAGGTGAGACAGTAGAATCTGAGGAGTGACAGGTAAGCAATGGAGGAGTAACACAGACAGAGCAGTTATCTAATGCTCCCTTTCATTACTGTGACCAAACTGTGGTTTTGGAAGAATACTACATTCTGTTTGGAGCCTGCAAACATGACTGTGTTGTGAAGGTGTTGTCTCTCCCAGAACGGATTCAGACCTAGTTCTGAAGAAGGACCACTGGAATGGAAACATTGACCGTGCTGGAAAAAGCTCGCTCTAACATCTATTATGTCAGACAAGTGTCTCTCTGGTTCGCATACCCTAAAATAGAAAAAAGCGAGACAACAACAACGTCATTGCGAAAAGGAGCACCCTCTTCATTTTTCCCTGGTTGTCTACACGTTAGGATTTGGCGCTCGCACTGATAGATTTGATTCGATCAGCAAATCAGGATTTACGATGTAATGGAGTCACCCAATATATAACAAATGGAATGTGGTCAGATTTTGAATATGGAAGTAAAAAGCACCATCCACAGTAGAGCGAAACTGTGCCCGTGTTGTGTGTCTGGACAAGGCCACAGTCAGTCATCAGACCATTCCACCAACACATCTCACCTAATCATAGACCCCATATCACCCAATTAACTTCTTTTCTGCTTTGGCTCACTATCAACAATCGTTGATCTGCCTCATTTTATTTCTGTCTCTTTCCACAGGAAAGGATCCAGCTTCACCTATCTGCTCACTCCTTCACTCCCACTAAATCATGAACATGAATAAAACTTTTCACAAAATAAAACGATACAGATGACGAAGATCTGAAACTCAATAGCTCTGGCAATCTCTGTGGTGCGAAAGCAGAGATAACGCTCCAAGTGAAGTGACTGTTGTTCAGAACTTCCTGGCTGCTTCTAGTTCAAATTTTAAGTATAGAAAGTTTCTCCTTCTCTAGCACTGGATGTTAGAAATAAAGGGCAGTACTTGAGTTGGAGGGAAATCTGCTGTGATACCTGCTGCCCTGGTCCTTCCAGGTGATGTAGTTGGAGGGTTTGGGAGATTCTATCAAATATCCGATGCTATTGTAGAAATATAAAACCTCTCTCATTTTCGGTCTGCCTCTCCTATCTCCATTTTTCCTCAGATAGAGGCCAAAGTATTGTGCAGATTTTTCTGGGTAGCAGATCCTCTTACCTGAAGAATATTAGTGGTAGAGTCGTGATTCAACGATAATATGACAGGTTTTCTTGGACACACTTTCCCCGCATTGTCCCTAGATAATATCAGATTCCTTCAACTCAATTTCACAATCTGCCTTTGTGATTTGAATGTTCGCTGTCAGATTTTTTTTCTGTTTAAAACCATGTGAACAGGCAATGAGAAGGGGAAGACTGAGAACATACCGATCGATGGAAAATTGAACAAAATATTTCATCAGAACCAGGTGAAGCTGTTCAATTTATTATTGTTTGACTATCATCTCTTTTGGAAAATGAATGGAAAAAGCCCCTTCACAGTGGAGAGAAACTATAAATGTGTTCCTTGTGTGGGCGAAGCTTCAGCCAAACTTCTGATCTATCAGAACAGACAATAAAGGATATTCTATTCGGAAATGCATTCCAAATGCGGAAAAATGGTGAAGTATGTAAATAGGGACTGAATTACCGTTCTGTGCAGAAAAAATTGGTAGTGGCAAACAGGGAAGACGCTGTTCATCTGGTCGGACTGTGGGAAGAGATTCACTTAGTCATCCACCTTGCTGAAACATCAGCAAGTTCACACTGGGAAGAAGTTGTTCATCTACCCTCCTGTACAGTCTAAAAACCATCAATTTTCCACCTTTCTTCAGAACTGAAGAACAGTAATTTTGGATTAGATACGTTTCTATTTCACAGACACTGCTAGACATACTGAGTTTCTACAGCACTTTCTGTTTTTATTTTGGGTCTTCAACATCCGCAATATTTTGCTTTTGTGTACAGGAGCTGTTAGAGCAGGTGACAGAATGGTTGGTCACAGAGGAATGTTTCCAGGATTATTTTTAAGGAGAAAGGTCAGAAATCACACGACACCAGGTTATAGCCCAACAGATTTCCTTGAAAACATAAGCTTTCGGAGCCTCATTTCTTCTTGAGATGTAAGTGAGAGAGGTAGTATCAGACTCAGAATTTAAGATTAAAAGATCAAAGTGTCACACCATTGATGGGAATGCACTAAACAAACCCAAGATGTTGAATGTTTAATTAGCCAGAAGATTTTAATTGATTAATATGTGTATGTAAATCCCTGAATTCCATTGAAGGTCCTGTGCTATGAGGACTAAAGCTTTTATCAGTGTAAAGAAGAGATGATATTTTAGATGAGACAATGCGTGTTAAGTGTGAGAACTTGTTGATAATCTGTTTGTGATTTGGTTTGGGGTAAGACTGGTTTTATTTCTAAAGTAGCAATTTATAAAATGCCACATTGTCTGACTGACTATAAATTCTGTGCTTATTGAACAAAATAGAATGCATCTGCAAATACAAGTTCACCCCATAGGTTTACAATTGTGTGTGTGTGTGAGAAAGAGACCATGTATGGTGTGGGATAGAGAGTGTCTATGAGATTGTGAGTGCGTGCGTGTGGGGAGGACGAGATGGGGGAGAGAGAGAGTGTGTGCATGTGTGTGTGTGTGTGTTTCTGTGAGCGAGCGAGAGAGAGAGAGAGTGCTTGAAAGACAATGTGTTTAATTGAGAGGATCAGCGCGGTGTGTGTATGTGAGAGGGAGGGAGAGAAACAGACTGTGTTTATGAAAATAGACAGTGTATGTAATAGAGAGGATCTGCGTGAGAGTTTTCGTGTGTGAATGTGTTTGTGTAAGTGAGTGTGTGTGTGAGAGTGTTTAGCGTGGAGGGGCCACCTGTAGTGCGACATGAACCCAAGATCCCGGTTCAGGCCCATCCTCATGGTTCCCAAACTTAGCTATCAACCTCTGCTTGGCGACACTGCGTTGTTGTGTATCACTACTTCCGCCTTGGAGAACGTTCAGAGAAGATCCAAGACTGAACGTCCTTGACTTTAAGGAGGAAAGCGGTGTAGAGAGCATGAACAGTTTAAGGAGGAAATTCTAGAGCTTCTGTGACATGCAACCGAAAGAATGGCCACCAATCGCGAAGTAATTTATATCAGGAATGCATAAGAGACCTGAATAAGTTGAGTGCAAAAACTTTAGAAGGTTCTGATTCTGCAGGATATTACAGAGACAGGAATGATTATAATCGTGGACCAAGACAAGAATGTGAATTTTAAAACGTAGAAGCTTCCGAACCCAGAAAGTTTATAGTTTTGGACATACATATATACACTTAAGGACTATGTAAAATACACTAAAACAAATGGAATTATTAGGATACTTTCAAGATCATTGATTTTGTGGAAATTTATCGACAATGCAATTGAACTTCTAAATTCTTCTAAAATATTTTTTGTTGGTTTCAGATTCTACCATCCTTAAAAGTTGTGAATTGGAGATTCCTAGGTCCTTTGATTATTTTTTCCCTCATGACTCCCTCAACCTCCAGCCTCCTACCAATAAATGTGTCCCGTGGTGATCGATACGTGCCGTAAAATCAAATCAAATCAAATCAAATCTATTCAAATCAAATCAAATAAGGGGGAAAATCTTTCCTGGTGACAACTCTCAAGCGACGATATTGGGAATCGTAGCCTGCAGCAATCGAACGTGCGGTGTCGTTCTGACAGTTTAGATGTCTCTGTGACCACGATCTCAATGCTAATATCTGACCAATCTGAAAATAGACTTTCGAATTAGTCTGTGGTGCAAACTGTTTGACTCATTGTCTGCCCTCTGACCTACGACAATGCGACATAAGGTATGAAAGAGATGTCATTTGCGAATTTGTTGGAGTATGACCAGGGTGGATGACTAAATGAAACCTTTCCCACCATTCAGGGATGGCGAAGGGCTTCATTCCAGCGTGAACTCGCTGGTGTATCAGCAGCGCAAATGATTTAGTGAATCTCTTCCCCCACTCAAGACAGGATAGTGATCTATTGACAAAACGAATCGCTGGTGTGCCAAATGGCTGGATGAAATGATAGATCTTTTCCCATAGCCAGGGCAGGAGAATTGTGTGTCGCCAGTGTGAGGTCAGATGATCGCTTGAACTAATGTGCCGTAGTGAGAGCACAAAAACAGTCATTATGAGCACGTTGATAAAGAATCTGGAAATTCTTACAGTTTGGACATTTTAAACGTCTCTACTCAATGTGAACCCACTGGCCTTTTAACAGGATTAGATGAATGACCAAATCGCTTCCCACTCTATGGACAGGAGAACGGATTCTCTCCTGGGTGAATACGCTGGTGTACAGTAAGATTAGATAATCACTTGAACCCAGTCCAACAGTGAGAGCACACAAAGTGTCTCTCATCGGAGTGAACATGCTGATGAGCCATCAAGTCCCTGGAAATTTTATTGAACTTCTTGCAGTTTGAACCTTTAAAAGGTCTCTTCTCTGTGTGAACGCATGGATGTGTCAGCAGGTGTGATGACTCAGTGAATCCCTTTCCACACTCAGAACAAATGAATGGCCTCTCCGCAGTGTGACTACGTCGATGAATTTCCAACTCTGATTGATATTTGAACCCTTTTCCACAATCCCCAAATGTCCATGGTTTCTCAGTGGCACCAGTGAAATTGAATCTCTCCCGGTTGGATGACCTGTTGAGGCTTCTCCAAACACAACACATGTTCGTTTTATCCCACTTTTAATGGTGATGTGCCAATTGCAGAGATTTTGATTCACGTCTATGTTAGCTTCTGCCTTCTTTCTATACTTTTGTTCTGCTTCTTATATTCGCTAATTCAATTTTCTGAGAACACTCCAAATTCAGCCCCGTTAGCATTGAACTGTCAACCTCATGTTTGTCAAAAATGCAGTTTCCTTTTCTACGTTAATTTCTTTCTCTATTTTGGCATCAAGGTAGATTTGAACTTGCGACCACTGTCTTCAGCCTTCATCGGAATATACCTTGATAGTATCGGAACTATTTCTGCTTAAAAGCAATACAGTGTTAACTTGTCGTTTTGATTTCAATTTATCTGGGTCAGATCCAATCACACCCGTTGAAGCTGGCTTCCGATAAATAATACTCTTGTTCTGAGCTGCAGTCTTTGCCTACATACAGAAAAAACAAGTATTTGTGTTCCAAATTGAGAACAAAATGATTTTGAGATATTGATGTTTAAAGTTACTCTGTCAGATCTTGATGTGACGTATGACCTCAGCTTCTCAGCTGTCAATTCTCTGCTTCTAATACACTGCAGAAAAAGAAGTGACAAAAATCTTCAACACCAGTTCAGACGAGAAATTCAGAAGTGATACCTATTCCCCTTGAGTAAATGTATAATACTGCAATGCTGGAGATCCTAAATGGAAAGGGAAAATGAAGGAGAAACTTAGCAGGTCCAGCAGCATTTGTGGAGATTAAATCAGAATTAATGTTTCAAGTGCAGCCACTCTTCTTCATTATTTTTCCCTCTAAACATGTTGCCAGACGTGAGTATTTTCACACTTCCTGCCTTCCTTTAATATTCCTATTGGTTTGAATTTCCCGTGACTAAATCCCCTGCAAAAAGATTTCATAAACTCCACCTCAGTCCATCCTCGAGAAACATTTGCAAGTTTCCTCTTCCTGCCGAGTATTATCGCGCATGCGCTCTGTCACCTAATGTCCCAACAAAGATAGCAACCATTACTTCGGGCTTGTCACCAAGGCATACAGCCTCGCAGCTTCCGTCTAATTAACTGTCAATGCGGGATATGAGTGTCTTATTCTGGGTTTGAGTTCTGCAGTCGGTGTTGATGAAATCTCCCCAATCACTCTGCCGCCTCCAACGACCATTGTATATTCTGCTTTCTTTCATAGTTGACTGGGACCAAATAACCACAGTCTTGCAGCTGGTGCAGCCCCATTGTGCATGTGCCACTCACAATATCTATGGTGCATGGTCAAGTCGGGAATGCACTGCTCATGATCCTATCGCTAAAGATCCGGACATAGACAGGAGTCCTTGCAGTGCATACGCAGAGTTTGTGTTAATGAACAGCGAATCCGTATCGATTAAAATCGAGGCTTGCAGTCTTGAACTCTGGTACTGTTTCTGAAATAATAAAACGTAAGATAATAAGGCTGGGCGGATGGTGCATGAAAGGAATGAGTTGTCAGAGAAAGTGGTGGAGGCGTGTACAATCACGACATTTGAGAGCCATTTGGATGGTTACATGAATAGGAAGGGTTTAGCGGGATATGGGTCAACTGCTGTCAAAAGGGACATAATCAGTTTTTGATATATAGTCTGCATGAGCGAGTTGAGCTGAAGGGTTTGTTTTTGTGCTCTATAACTCGATGAATCTGTTTTTTATAAAGGTGATTTCAAATTTTATGTCCAATATAAGCTTTTTTCACATCAAATATGCCGTCATTTTTAGCAGTCTATTTTCAATGTAGTTTCCCACGTACTGCGACCTGTTGTAGAGGCTGTGAAAGCAAAGAGGGAAAGTTTTGTTGTTGCTGTACGAAGCTCTATTTAGTTTAACAGGAAGCTCTCGGTATACTTCTGCAAACGGCACTTATAGGGGATCAATATTCACATCGAAAGTGCTCGAGGTTTTTGAAAATTGAGAGCTGTCAATCGGATGCATTTGGCACTATTCGCTTCACTGTTAACTTCATGTCCACGTCCAACTTACCAGAAGCAGTTATTGTTTGTACAGTTGTCCTGTGATTGAAAAAGATATGTTATTAGTGGTGTTCCCAAACCTATCACCCAAATATGGCCCTCATAGGGTACAGCTGCTTTTTTATTTTTAAATTTAATGCTTAATTGGTTCAAGAATTACTTTCCATGTTCTGTGAATATTTCTACTTCTCCTCTTTCTTTATTCTCACGCGTTCATTTCAAGTTCGATAGGAATAATGAGGAAAGGCAGAATAAGCGGCAGAGTGACCGGCGAATTTTATGGTAACGGCATAGCCAGAATGAACAAAACACTCTCTTTCTCTGTTGTTACCGTTCATTAATTTCACACCAAGTGTAAAGATATTAATTCACATGTTGTAATTGTAGTGGAATTATTTTGCTGATGTATTAGAAATTCCATTTCGAATTCTAAGCTTTTACAATCCTTTGTGGGAAGAAATATCTCTTCACGAAAGTCCTAAAAGATGGAAATATTATCCGGAGAATGTGAACTCAGTTCTAGACACTCCAGCCCAGAGGGAAAGCTTCTTAGCAGCTCTACTTTCGACCTGTCTCCGAACTTCGACTTTTCAAAAACTGGACGTGGAAATGAGAGAGATGTACGGTCAGAGAGATTGTGTGTGTGTGTGTGTGTGTGTGTGTCTTTCTAGTTGTGTTTCTGTCCCTGTAACTGTGTGTGTCTGTCTCTCTATGCCTGACTACTGACTATCTCTGTGTGTTTGTAAGTATGCATCCGTGTGTTTAGTACGTATTGATGTGTGTTTCTATGTTTGTGTATATCTCTGTGTCTGTATCTCCGTGCAATTGAGTCTCTGTTGTTTTAGATGTTGAACCATAGAAATGGGTCACACATTCTCTCCCCCTTTGTCTGTCTCTCTTGTCGTGATGAACAAAAGGCTCAGACTCTCTCTCGCTGTCTGCCTGCCTGATCTTCCTGTTTTGAAAATGATACAATGCCCTTCTCTGCTGGCTTCCCCACGCTACTGCTTTGTGTATGCCTGTATTCAGATTGCTCCAGTGTTCCATGAATAGAGTCATGTGATAGTTCAACGTCTCTCAAACAAGTCCTGCAGTTCGCTGTTTCACTGGAGGATTTACTGGGCCTAAATCAGCTGCTGCATTTTCTGAAACACACCATCGTTGTAACAGTGAAACACTTTTAGACTTCTGAGAAAGGTACGACTTCAATTTTATTTCATTCACTAAACTGATGACAATAGGTCATTTCAGGGATATACTTACAACGATTAAAGCTTTGTGTTCCAATGAAAACTACGATATATCACTGCGAATTTGGAGACCATTTCAGTTTTGAGTCTTTGGGGCTCTGAAGGAAGTAATGCACTGTGGTGTCTGTCAGTTCTGTTTTAACAGTTTCAGCTTGAGGGAGTGGTTCATATGACCAAACTCCGAGGAAAATAAATCTCCTAGAAAACTCGCCCTGTTGTCACTCCAAAGTCAGCATTTATTGCACTTCCTTAAATACCCTTGAACTGAGTGCGTTGCAAAATATATTCAGAGGTCAATTAAGAATTAACTGCACTGCCAGGTAACTTTGGCAACATGTTTTCTCTAAATGATAGCGAAATATGTTTTCAATTAAACATACCTATTGATTACCATTTCACGTCCACCATTACTGGAACTAACTAATTCCAGGTTATGCATGAACTGAATTTACATTCCACTAGTTACACTGTGTAGAACATTAGTCGGTGCAATTAAAAATAAAAGCTATTTGGCTTCTCAATTAGAAAAGTTCACCATGAAATATTGTCAGCAAAATTCAGAGGAAATTTCAGCACAAATATTTGAATCTTTGATTTTCGAATTATAGACGAACTACAACTTGTTACAATCCTGATCTAGAAAATTAACGCTCAAAGAAAAATTTGAAACTCAGCGAATGAACTGGAATAAGTAATGCAAAAGACTTCGTAGTTTTAAGCAGATCATTGCTTGAAAGTACATCAAAAATAAAGGAAACTTAACACCATGTTTTAAAATTACTTTAGTATCCCGCAGAGAGCCATGATTACATTAAAGTGCTTTTTGTAAATGATACTTTCGGCCGAGGCTTTAAATTTATGCAGGTCTAGTTAGGTGGATTTTTGATTGACAAGGAAACCAACGGTTACGGGATGAAGACATACGACTGAAATTGAGAGAACAACCGGACTAGACATGGTCCTGTTGATTATTGAAGCATGATCGAATGGAAAAATATGCGAGCCCTACGAGATATGTTCCTCTGCAGTAACTGGTCTAGTGTATTAACATAACTGAGGCAAAATCTGATGTAACGTAATAAGAGGCATCACTAGATGTACTATAAATGGGTGCATAGTTTTGTTTAGTGTTATATAAACAGAGACAGGGTCCAGCGCAGTTCGGTTTTTAAACAATACCAGCTTCATTTAGTCTCCGTAATCGTCACTTCACTGCCATCCACAGGACAGACTTGCTATGAAAAGTAGATTTGAGTTTCTGTTGCTAATATTAATCATAGGATTCTAGAAACATGAGAACACAAACGGCAACTATTCGAATATGAGGTGCAGAGCAGGATGGACACAGCAGGCCAAGCAGCATCATAGGAGCAGAAAGGCTGAAGTTTCGGGCCTAGACCCTTCATCAGAAAAGGTCTGATGAAGGGTCTCGGCCCGAAACGTCAGCCTTTCTGCTCCTATGATGCTGCTTGGCCTGCTGTGTTCATCCAGCTCTGCACCTTGTTGTCTCAGATTCTCCAGCGTCTGCAGTTCCTACTATCACTATTCGACTATTGCGAGTGTCCTCTGAAAGGACAATTTACCCAGGGTCAATCGCCTTCCATGGACCAGACATTTTTCAAATTTTCAGATTATGCAACTTTCCATTTTTGAAAGTCTCTGTTGATCCTGTCTCAAACAGATTCTCAGTTCGTGTACCATAAATCCTAACTTTTCGCTGTATGTATCAAAATTATCATGTCATCGTTCCTTTGTTT